TTGAACACCACTTACTGTGTATACAGTACTACATTGAACACCACTTACTGTGTATACAGTACTACATTGAACACCGCTTACTGTATGTACGGTAATACATTGAACACCACTTACTGCCTATACAGTACTACACTGAACACCACTTACTGTCTATACAGTACTACATTTAACACCATTTACTGTCTATACAGCAGTACATTGAACACCATTTACTGTCTATACAGCAATACATTGAACACCACTTACTGTGTACACAGTACTACATTGAACACCACTTACTGCCTATACAGCAATACATTGAACACCGCTTACTGTCTATACAGTACTACATTTAACACCATTTACTGTCTATACAGTTATACATTGAACACCACTTACTGTATGTACGGTAATACATTGAACACCACTTACTGTGTATACAGTGATACATGGAACACCACTTACTGTGTATACAGTACTACATTGAACACCACTTACTGTATGTACGGTAATACATTGAACACCTCTTACTGTGTATACAGTGATACATGGAACACCACTTACTGTGTATTTACTGTTTGTACGGTAATACATTGAACACCACTTACTGTATGTACGGTAATACATTGAACACCACGTACTGTCTATACAGTTATACATTGAACACCACTTACTGTGTATACAGCAATACATTGAACACCTCTTACTGTGTATACAGTGATACATGGAACACCACTTACTGTGTATACAGTGATACATGGAACACCACTTACTGTCTATACAGTTATACATGTAACACCACTTACTGACTTAACAGTAATACATTGAACACCATTTACTGTCTATACAGTTATACATTTAACACCACTTACTGTCTATACAGTACTACATTGAACACCACGTTCTGTCTATACAGTACTACACTGAACACCATTTATTGTCTATACAGTTATATATTGAACACCACGTACTGTCTGTACAGTACTACATTGAACACTACTTACTGTCTATACAGTACTACACTGAACACCATTTACTGTTTATACAGTACTACGTTGGACACCAGTTACTGTCTATATAGCAATTCATTGAACACCATTTACTGTCTATACAGTACTACATTGAACACCACTTACTGTCTATACAATACTACATTGAACACCACGTACTGTGTGTACAGTGATACATGGAACACCACTTACTGTCTATACAGTACTACACTGAACACCACTTACTGTCTATACAGTACTACATTTAACACCACTTACTGTCTATACAGTACTACATTGAACACCACTTACTGTGTGTACAGTGATACATGGAACACCATGTACCGTCTGTACAGTTATATAGAGAACACCACTTTCTGTCTATGCAGTACTACATTTAACACCACTTACTGTCTATACAGTTATACATTGAACAACAATTACTGTCTGTACGGTAATACATTGAACACCACTTACTGTGTGTACAGTGATACATGGAACACCATTTACCGTCTGTACAGTTATACAGAGAACACCACTTACTGTCTGCACGGTTATACAGAGAACACCATTTACTGTTTATACAGTGATACATGGAACACCACTTACTGTCTGTACAGTACTGCATTGAACACCACTTACTATTTTTACAGTACTACATTGAATAGCGGGGATCTGGGCCGTTTTCGTCTAAACGGTTGAACCGGTTGTACCAAAGTTGTTCGTTTATTAAATAAGGTCGGACCTAGTAATCTGATGCTGCTTTTAGGAGAGCAATAACAAAGCATTGCAAAACATGCATAAACAGTTGCAGGTCCGCCAGGATTTATACCCGAAAATGTTACAATTAAAGACGGACAAGCCGGTTGTCCCGCATAAACGAACAAGCCCCTGGTGACGCGAGATTGATAAATAGAGTTCGGTAGACGCGGGAATTGATTAAGAGTATTCTGACGACGGGGTGATTGATAAGTGTTATTTAGGTGAAACGGGTATATATAGGTATTGATCAGTGTATTTGGGAGTCGCAGGAATCAATCGTTTACTTTGAGTTCAGCTAACAGTGATAAGTATTGTATTGTTCAAGGGAGCTGGCAAAGGTCGGAGTATATGTAACACATTAAAAAACAAAAACTAAACTAAAGAATGTCCATCATGGTTTATTATCGACAGTCGTTCTCGTTAGCGTAGGTGACATTTAATAGGAAACATGGAA